GAGCACACAATGCACATATGTTTGAAGACTCATCCGCGAAAATGAAATTCAAACCACATTATGTCTTGATCATTTTATCTTTTTAAAAACAATTAAGTAACAAATTATGAACACTAAGTTTAACTAATCCGGCATTTATGATAAAGGTCACTAAATCTTATGCATGACCACTCAAATCAAGTTAGAAGAGCAACGACATCATAGGCATGGCATGGCATGCTTAGTGATTGCAGAAAGTTGTAATTGAACTAATTCTAGCAGCCATCAAAAGTCTTTCTTTCTTTAAGATGATCTCTAGGCCACCATTCAATTTACAATATGTAAAACCCCTCAACACAGTGACTTTTTGAAACCTTAGCAGAACAAGAAAAAATCAGAGAAAAAGTGATGCTGAAGAATTGCAATGTGCAAATAGAATATGAATCAAACACGTACCAATAGTTATTGCTTTATCCAAGCACTCATATGTACACTGTACCAGCTGACGAGATGCTTCATCGACATTTCCCACAAAATATGTTTCATTTAAATCACCTGCATGATGAGTCACTTTGTCAAATATGGAGGTTTCATTAATTTTAGCAAGATTTGAATTGATATATAAATCTGCAGTAGATTCTTACCATGAACTCCTTTGTAGTAGACAGTGACATCAACATTTACGATATCACCATCCTCCAATTTCCTGAGGTAATTAAAACATATTTAGTCACCAATTTTAAGTTTAGGTCCATCTTAGTAATTGAAAAAGATACCATAATCAATGAATGTTAAAAAATTGAAAGTTAAAGCGGCATTATGGATGAATAAGTGAGGTCCTGAAGAATTAAAGCAAGACTATTACCTTGCATCCGGAATTCCATGGCAAATTACTTCATTAACTGACCTGGATAAGAAAATGACATACATTTGCTTAATCAACATTATAAATCCCAGCAAATTCAAAGAATATGTACAGAAGAAGTACCTACGTGCAGCAAGACTTTGGGAAGAAATGATAATTGAGAGGGGATGGATATCCTCCTGCAGGAGAGGACACATGTATAAAGTGAAACCAAAGAAGAGATAAATGATTATTAATAAATTGTGCAAAATAAAAGCTCATTCAAAACCAATGGACCTGCAGCAATAGTTGCCTCATGAACCACTCGATCAATTTCATCTGTTGTTACACCAGGACGGATCATCCGAGCTGCAGCATCCAAAACCTCTCTTGCAATCTAAGGATAAAAATATATACGCTAAGACTTTAAAATTACACAATAAAAAAAACTAATACTAAAAAGAAATTGGATTTAATTGCAAGTGGAAAGGATTTCCAAGGACAATTGCACTTATTTGCAATTGGAAAGTATTTCTCATTGTTTCCTCCTTCCTTTCTAGCAACTATACTCTTAAGGTTTGATCACAGAAACGAAAACTGGCTCTACTTATTTCTATGTAGCTACTACATGACATTTATGGTGCCAATGTCATCATCTATGAGGCCATATTTTGGCCCAGCATGAAATTATCTTCCTAAAAGAACTTTTATATGTAATAGATGCAGAATTCCAAGACCATTCTACAGAAACTTATTATTCCTTGAATTTGAACTTCACAGTTTGACCATCAATTCTGCTATCCATTGAAAACTTTAACATATATGGGCAGCAACAGTGTGTTTAAGGTAAATCCTTCCAGTTGACAGCAGGGTTCTGTTTTCTAAACCAAACTATTTTGAAGCTCATTTTAAGTTGATAAGCTTTGTTGAAATGGAAGCCTTTATTTTCACATGAAGCAAAGCAATGCAACCTTTGGAGTAAAAATAGAAGAATATAACATAGCATGATAAACTCCCTCGTAATAGCTGTAGAATAGAAAAAAAGAGAAAGAGGGAGAGAGAACTTACTCGACAAGTTTCTCGCATTCTCTCAATTTGATCTGGAGTTTTGATCTTCAAAACAGATGCACCAAAGTCAAAAAGAAAAATAATAATAATAAAGAAAAAACTACAAGGAGCATATCAAAATGTGTAGCTTAATTCACTAAGGCTCAAGAAGAGATTTCACTAGTATAAACTTACCTCAACAACATGCTGCAAATCACTATTGGGCTCAACTTTTGGGATTCCCTACATGTGGAAAGAACAGTTATACCTTAAGGATGCAAAAACCAGTAACCCAGCAGGAAAGGAGAGAAAAATAGAGGTTAATTATTCATTGAGCTCTCTCTCTCTCTCTCTTTATATATATATATATATATATATCTCCATAATCCTAGAAGACACTTCAATATGGTCAGCAATCAACAAATTTCCACTCAAATTGCAAATAAATATTCAATATGCAAACAAATAATTCAGAAAGACTCACATCAACAGCCCAGTCAGGTTTATCAATATAAGCAGGTACAATACGCTTGATAGATATGGGATATGGTCTGAGCGTTCTGCACAAGGAAGATAACACCATAAAGACAATAAAAATAAGAATCAGGAATAACAAGGGAAATAACCATCCAGGAAAGAAAGCACAAAAGCTTGAAAATAGCACAGGAAGTAGGAAATTGATGCAAAAGGAAGAAAGATATGTAGCATAAATGAGGAACTAAAATCCTAGAGAACTACCCTGTCCAATCAAAATGAGGAAGTTTTGGACTTCGACTCTGCCCTTTTCTCAAGCAATATAGCCAACCCTCACTAGCTAAATGCGAATCTTGTTCACCAGCAGTACTTGTCCCAAGTGCGGACAGCTTTGCCTTCAAATGAACTGATTTGTGTGAGCTCCAAGAAGCCTTGAAACAATCCTGAGTACTGTCAAGAAAAACATCATTAATACAAAATGCAAAGCTGAATCAGACATTTCCAAAATTTTTGGTAAGAAAAGAACAAAGAAAAATCAATTTCAATCAATGAACAGTCGTCTGAGCCCTACATATTAATTTTAAAAGTATATAAATCATCAACCAGGTTTAGGTCAAGGATAGAATTAACTACGTCCTTTGCTTTTTATAAAGCCTTGAAATACAATCTCTGGAAGTGTAATAAGGAGGTGAAATCAGGCAATTAACTCACTACATCATATCATACATAATCTTTCCCAGCATATTCAAGATAACAACAGAATTTCAAAGTCGAAGAAGATGATGATTACAGACCAGAAAGCAGCACCTTCACGAGGAAGCTTTAACTCCACGCACTTTGGACACCTGCAGATAAGAAGTTATACCAGAAACGAAGGATTCAACTCAATTCTCAAGTTATCATTAT